CAAGTTGGTTAGAGGGTGGATGCGGTTTGGGGGGAAATGGGTGAGCAATACTGAAAATGGTGTGTATTAATTTGTCTTACTTTTTTTATCTGAAGTATTTTTAAGATTGTATTGTATTGCAGAATTGAAAATAAAAATTTTATATATATAAAAAAAAGATACACTAGAACCCCCTTAGGTAGATGCTCATACAGCACTTCGTTAATTAATTGCATTAACATGGCAGAGGCTCCCTGTAATTCAAAAGGCATCAACTTTAAATTGGCAACAGCTACCTGGGCCAATAAGGGGCTAATAGTTTCATTTACCATTAGGTCATCTTTGCCCTCTCTTTCACTCTTATAGAGGTTTAGCTGAAAGTCATTGCCAGGCAGAGATCTCCCCTCTTCACTGCTAGAGGGTGAGATCTCAACAACCTGGCTTGCCATTCAAAATTTCTCTTTTCCCTTCTTGGGTGGTTTCTTTGCGGGTTGGGGAGTCGAGTTCCTTGGAACTCCCCTGGAAACTGGTACTGGGCAAACTGCTGCCTGATGACCCCCTTGACTACATCAGAAACAAGTTCCAGCTGGGCAGCTTGGCAGGTCTGGGCTCGGCATGGTGGGGTTCTTTTGCCCCAGCAGTCATCTCCCCTGGACCCTCTTTGGACAGGGTTCAGCTCCCCAGTACTTCTTATATTCCATCAGATCCAACTCCGTGTTTGTGGCCAGCTGGTACCAGTGTTGGATCTGGTCTAGTAATCCTCGAGGCATGCATGTGTGGTACAGTTCTCTATTCAGGCCACCCCTGAAGTAGTGCGCCAAAAGATGCTCTGGCCAGTGTCTCAGCCTCCCCGCCAGTCTCCAGAATTCACGACTGTATTTCATCACTGGCCAGCTTCCTTGCTTGATGTCTCAGATCTCAAATTCCGTTCAATGAGCTTGCATGTTATCCTCAAAGCAGGCCCTGAGTTCCCTCAGGAAATTGTCAGGATCTCCCAGCTCGGGGCTCCCTCATCGTGGAGCCCAGTCACCCACTCTGCCACTTCTCCCTCCAAGTTAGCCATAATAGCATCCACACAAGCCAGATCATTGGCGTACATCAGCCCGTAGCGATCCAGATATGCCCACACCTGGTTCAGGAAAAAAGGCAGTTTGTCTGGGTTGCCATCTAATGTCATCCTAATTGGCAGGGCCTCTGGAGGTCCTGGGGCAACCCAATATGATGATGGCCACTTCGCTCTGTAAGGGAAAGGCCAAGGCTGGATACCTGCAGCTGCCATTTAAAAAAATGTCTGACCAGCAGCTCCCTTGGTTCAACTGGTGCTTTCGGAGGTTTAGCGACTCTTCGGGCTGGAATGTGGCTGACATGGGGCAACAGTCCTCTGGGGGCTGGCTGCCCCTGCAGCTGACATGGTGGTCATTCCCTGCCGAGGTTGAAGCAACATCCCTGAAGCAGTTACTGTGGGCTGGCTGGACCCCCTTTCAGGGAACAGTTCCACTCCTGGGCTGAGGAACCTTAGTTCCTCAACTGATGGGCTGCGACAAGCCATCAAATATCTCTACTGCACTGACTCTTCCCACTTTGCGGCTCTCCTTTCCTTCCACCTCGGAACTTGGACGGACACTTCCCCAAGGGAGATCGATGGGAAGTCTGGTTTGGTCTCTTTTTGCATCATGACCTGCCATATCACTTCTCTAGTCTGCGTTGGTTATTGTTGCAGCCTCATTGCGTGCTGTCAGTGATTCGTTTTGGCGGAGTCCCATCGCTTGGGTCCCGGAATCTGCTTAACCCATGGCATAGTCTTCCTTCACTGGCCCCGCTCCAGCCATCTTCCTCTGAATTTTCGCAGCTCTTCCATAGGCTACCAGACAGGCTGCAGGGGCTCAGGACACACACTCCCAGTAGATTTTTAAAAGAGAGCTGGTTTAGTGTCAATGTTCTGACTGACGAACCCAACTAAGCAAACACCTTCAAGACTTTCCAATCTCTTAATGCAAAGCTGTATTGAGTATACCATATCGGCATATATAAAAAATAAAACCAGCTCTGATTGGACCCCTCCCAAACCCCTATTGTAAAAGCATTAACCTGTTCTTCCTCCCTCTGGATCAGGTCACATTGTCCAATCAAGTTGGGAAATATTGATATGAGAGAGAATCTCTGGGTATAGCCAGATACCTGGCCGTTGTCCTTGATTCCCATGGTCTGCTTTCTTAATCTTTGAGTCTGCATTCCAAGCCTCTCCCCTCCCTCTAAGCTTGTTGGCAAATTGAGAAGCAATGTCTGTAGCACCAACAAGACTGGGCTTCAAAACCTGACATCTGCATTAACTTTATTGTACCATAAAAACCCATGCCATGCAAAGCTGGCACTGTAGAAGTTTTATTTGCTATGAGACATTTTTCCTTTCCCAAGACCCCTTTAATTCCTCCACTTTCATTTTTGTCTCCATTAAAATCATTTTACCATTTTGCTGAATAAGTTGTCCTTTCATAAAAGCTTTAATTGCAATCCAAACTATGCTTATGTCCATGCCTTTATTTAATCTCAAAGCATTTCAAGTTCTCTGCAGTCCTCAATTATTTATTCTTTTTGTAGCAAAGTTTCATTCTGCCTTTACTTTTATATATTCAAGTCACTGGGTTATGATCTAAAAGAGGTTTTGGTAATATCTCCATTTTATTAGTAGATGTAACAAGTTTATTAGAAATCCAGAACACATCTATTTTTAAGAAATATATTTCCATATATTTATATGTTCTGTACATTGTCCTCCATTCTTTCTTTGAGGATAGCCAGATCTCTTTTACTTGATGCAGACAAGATACAATTACTGATGTTGTAACATTCTTCCCTAATTCTTCAAACTTCCTTTTTAAGGACTGGCATAATCCCTTTTTTATATTTGTTGAGTTTCTGATTCTTTAATCCCTTCTTCAAGTTTTGCTGTTTTTCTAATAGTAGGCATTTTTTTCTGATTTGTAACCCAGAAAAAAGAAATAAAGAATAAAAAAGAGCTTTTTTTCCCTCTATGTCTCTCTTTAGTCTCTTTTGGTACACCATATTACTCCAGTCACAAGATCTTTCTGTTTCTATTCTTTAATAATAATAATAGTAGTAAAGTTGGAAGGGACCTTGGAGGTCATCTAGTCCAACCCCCTGCTCGGGCAGGAAACCCTACACCATTTCGGACAAATGGCTGTCCAGTCTCTTCTTAAAAACTTCCAGTGTTGGAGCATTTACTGTTTCTGGAGGCAAGCTGTTCCACTGATTAATTGTTCTCACTGTCAGGAAGTTTCTCCTTAGTTCTAGGTTACTTCTCTCCTTGATTAGTTTCTACCCGTTGCTTCTTGTCCTGCCTTCAGGTGCTTTGGAAAATAGCTTAATTCCCTCTTCTTTATGGCAGCCCCTGAGATATTGGAATACTGCTATCATGTCCCCCCTTGTCCTTCTCTTCGTTAAACTAGACATACCCAATTCTCGCAACCGTTCCTTATATGTTTTAGCCTCCAGTCCCCTAATCATCTTTGTTGCTCTTCTCTGTACTCTTTCTAGAGTCTCAACATCTTTTTTACATCGTGGTGACCAAAACTGGATGCAGTATTCCAAGTGTGGCCTTACCAAGGCATTGAAGAGTGGTATTAATACTTCACGTGATCTTGATTCTATCCCTCTGTTAATGCAGCCTAGCACTGTGTTGGCCTTTTTGGCAGCTGCAGCACACTGCTGGCTCATATTTAAGTGATTGTCTACTAGGACTCCGAGGTCCCTCTCACAGTTACTGCTATTGAGCATGGTGCCACCTATGCTGTACTTGTGCATTTGGTTTTTCTTGCCTAAATGTAGAACCTTGCTTTTGTCACCATTGAATTTCATTTTGTTAGTTAGTTAGCAAAGTCAGCCAATCATCCTTCTTAGCAACTTTAAATAATCCCCTTTTCCATGGAGTTGCATGTTATTTATTTAATTTAAAATACTTTAAATAAGGCAATATTCAAAATTTAACTGTCTCTTTAGTCAATTTTTAACTTTCGCATTTCAAACTCCCAGCAAGCTTTTTGCTTTTAATTCTTTTAAAAGTCTTTCTATTCTTAGTTTTCTTTAATTTTTCCCAAGGGTGAAAGGTATATTCACCCAGATGGCTTTGGGCATTCAGTCTCTTTACACTTTAAATTTTCTCCATCCAAAATTGTTTTAGAAAATGGATTGGACAAACCCTTTTTTTTAAACAAGCTTTGCTTGAAGCTATGAGCAAACTGTTTACTCCTTGGACTTCTGGCACTCTTATCTATCTATAAGAGTCTCCTTTCCTCCAAGGAACTGCCTCCCATATCTCAAGTGGGCAATTTCATAGCTTTCTCCTTCTCCAGAGAAGTTTCATTTTCTCGGACACACTGCCTGGCTGTCAGTGTATCTCTCCAGTGGATAGAAAAATCCTAGTCCACATGTCTTTAACCAGAAGTTCTGAATTGATTGCTCATGACTAAAGTATAAGCAATTAAGTTGCTTATGAGAACTTCTGATTTAAAGTTTAATTCAGTATTACATTAATTTATGACTTGGTGTCCATCCACTTCTTTGTCTTGGCCCCATTTTCTTTTCGAAGCCCAATCTAGTATGCCTCTCAAGAGCATAGCTTTGGGAGCCCTACTCCCATTCAAGTAAGATTCTCCCATTGTTAACTAAAACATAGGTAATTATACCAATATAATCTTCCCAGGAAAAAGTGTGTTAGCATATTAACCAAACTGAACATAATGCTAGCCAGAATATTAAATATACCGTGCTTCATTTCAGTAGATCAAGAAATTATTGCATAATTTTTAAACTTGTATAATTTAAAAATATGCTAACCTTTTAGTTTTTACATTGTTTCCACTGAGTGTAGAAAGTGCATTTGTCTCTTAAGACAATTATTTTAATGATGCCAAGTAATTTGATTTGTGTGTTGATTTGGGGTGTGTGTGTGTGTGTGTGTGTGTGTGTGTATTTCATGAACTGACATGATTCTTGGTTTTTAGATCGTGTCCTACCTACTTGATCTCCCAGAAAAAGATGAAGAGGAGGTGGAGCGAGCACAAATCAACAGTTTTGACAGCCTTTGGGGAGAGACAGGTAATTTTTTTAACTAGAACATTCATATATCTTGATACATAGTGGATTTGTTAAAAGAGATTGCTCTATGTAAATTCTTTGCTGTGCCAAAATTGTCTCTCTAATTTTTCTAATTTTTGGAGTATCACATGTAATTAGGAAATAAAGGTTTTCATATGTTTGCCAGTTAATTACACAGCTAAGATATTAATCAAATAGTATGTGTTCAAGATTCATAAGCATTATCCAATATAAACTAATATAAAACTAATAGCCATAGGATTTGTACAGATATAGATATATTTATTAGAAATAATAAATATTCATTTTTCTGTTAAATTGATTACTCAATCAGTAATATTTCTCAAAACTTTTAAATATCTTGATGCAAAAGGATGTATTTCAATTTTCAGTCTTTTTCTGTAATCATTCAGTTATATGAAAAAAGATTAACTGTATTCTGGGTGATAAATCTTGCAGCTAACAACAAAAATTGGCCCATGTTTCTAACTCATAGTGTACAATACTAGTCACATAGGCATACAAGTAATCCTCAAACTACATCTGTAAGGGAGCCCTCCTTTTAGGTGCTGAAACTAAACTCTCTGCCTCTGTCCTCCAATCTCAATTCCTTTTAACCACTTAGTTTGCTAAATTTACTGCATGTCTGGAAAGGTGGTGCAAATTTTGTATGTTACATACCTTGAGTGACTGCCAAACTGAAGAATTCTGTAGAAGAAAGGAGGGAAGCAAGCAAAGATAAGCTTTCTGCAGCTTGTTTTTTCTTAAGGACTGAAGAAAAAGTTCAGCCTAAAAGAAAAAGCAACCCCACAAACATGCAGCAGATCACAGCAGATGTTGGATTCTAAAGAGGGTCAGACCAGCAGCAAAAAGCTTTCCGCAAGGAATTGTCAGAGTACTGAAAATGGCAGCTGCTTCCAGCAGTTATGGGGCAGAATACCTAAGTGCTGCAGGAAATCTTGTTGGAGCTGGATGGGGAAAAGAGGCAGCAAATGCAGTGTCTCTGAGTCAGTTGTAAGGGCAAAGGACAATAGGTATGCTGCAGCCACCCTAAGCTTGAAGCAGGGCCATATGGCTGTTAAGTGACTAATGATATCTCAAGGTTTACCTGTACTACAAGAATGAAATGGAATAAACCTAAATATACTGACCTGATCTCAGACCAAATTAGAAAAATACATCAACTTGTGATTTATTCATATTACATATGATACATTCTTCAATCCATCATTCCTTCATTGCTGCCACCTCAATAAATTGTGTTTTTCCATGCTTCTTTTGTGGAAGTATTATTTTATTTATTCATTCATTCATCACATTTCTATACCATCCATTTCACTTAAATGACTTGTTGGTTGATTGCATTTTCCAGTTTTATTGATTCATTTGCATTCCTATCTGGCATAGTTAATTCTTACCAGTGGGAGTGCTTTTAAAGACAGAGCTTCTTTTCTTCATTTTACCATTAATTTAAAATGAGGTTAGGGATTTGCAGATAGGATATTTCTAGTTTCTTCATCTATTTTCTATTGAGTATAGGGATAGTTGATCAACCACTTTAAGCCTAGTTCATAGTTTATACCTACTTGATTATAAGCTATGAATAACAGGATGTGTGGGTTTGTTTGTTTCAATGCTATGGTCCTGCACAAGTGTATATAAGTTTATAAAAAATATTTTAAAAAACTTGAAAAAACATGAAATAGTCCAATTCTGAATTTCTTCCGTAACTGTAGGATTATACTGTGGTATATTCAATGAATATAAACACATTTTCATTTTTTTTTTGTTTTTTTGTTTTTTGCTTTAGTATATAAAAAGAAAGGGGAAACAATTCAAACAATCAAAAGAAGAAAACAGCAAAAAATATAATATAGTATATAATTCAGTGTATACTAAAGAAGCAAATTATGAAAAAACTATTGTATGATTGCATATATGTGTAAAAGGGGTGGTTTGCATAATGACAGTGCAACTCTGTTTTTGTCATTTTGATTAAAAGCATCCAATCCTGCAGACACCACTGATAATTTAAAAAACCCTCACTTTTAAAATACAGCATTAATGTTTGACTACCCGGAATAATTTATATATTACTTCACTCCATGCTAATTACAGTGAGAGAAAAAAAATTTGATCCTCTGCTGATTTTGTATGTTTGCCCACTGATAAAGAAATGATCAGTTGATAATTGTAATGGTAGGTTTATATTAACAGTAAGAGACAGAATAATAAGAAAAAAATCCTTAAAAATGCATTTCAAAAAGGTTATAAATTCATTTGCATTTCAATGAGTGAAATAAGTATTTGATCCCCTATTAATCAGCTACATTTCTGGCTCCTATGTATTTTTTATACAGGTAACGAACTGAAATTAGGAGCACTCTCTTAAAGGGGGTGCTCCTAGTCTCAGCTTGTTACCTGTATAAAAGACACCTGCCCACAGAAGCAATCAATTAATCAGATTCCAAACTCTCCACCATGGCCAAGACCAAAGAGCTGTCCAAGGATGTCAGGAACAAGATTGTAGATCTACACCAGGCTGGAATGGGCTACAAGACTATCGTCAAGTAGCTTGGTGAGAAGATGATAGCAGTTTGCAAATGGAAGAAACAAAATAACTCCCTCGGTCTGGGGCTCCATGCAAGATCTCACTTCATGGAATTTCAATGATCATGAGAACGGTGAGGAATCAACCCAGAACTACATGGGGAGGAACTTGTCAATGATCTCAAGGCAGCTGGGACCATGATCATCAAGAAAACAATTGGTAACAGACTACCCCATGAAGGACTGAAATCCTGCAGCGCCCGCAAGGTCCCCCAGCTCAAGAAAGCACAGGTACAGGCCCATCAGAAGTTTGCCAATGAACATCTGAATGATTCAGAAGAGAACTTGGTGAAAGTGTGGTGGTCCGATGAGACCAAATTGGAGCTCTTTGGCATCAACTCAACTCACGGTGTTTGGAGGAGGAAGAATGCTGCCTCTGACCCCAAGAACACCATCCCCACTGTCAAACATGGAGGTGGAAACATTATGCTTTGGGCGTGTTTTTCTGCTAAGGGGACAAGACAACTTCACTGCATCAAAGGAATGATGGACGAGGCCATGTACCATCAAATCTTGGGTGAGAACTTCCTTCCCTCAGCCAGGGCATTGAAAATGGATCATGGATGGGTATCCAGTATGCCAATGACCCAAAACACACAGCCAAGGCAACAAAAGAGTGGCTAGGTTTACCGCATTGAATTATTTGTAAAAATAATAAAGGCAGGATATAAATAAAGTAAATAAATAATAAAATGGCTGCTGAACTCTAGAGAAAACATGAGAAAGAAGAAGCTCAGAATAACTCAAGGCTGAGTTATTCTTTGGCTGACTACCTCGTCCTTAAAGAGCAGTGAAGTTTTTGAACAGGCTTTGAAGACTTCCTTAATGTACCTGCAATAATAAAGTAGCATTCCTGGAATCCTTGCCATTATCTTGCTTACCTTGAAAGGTGGACAACAATATTCCTTTGAACTGTATACATACATTATAGATGTGAAATTATCCAAATGTATTTTAATACTGATAGTAATTCAGAGTGCTTGCTAATAATGAAGTCAAAAGTTGTTTTAATTGTATATGCTGATATTTCATTTTTATCAGTCCAAATTTCTCTTACAATAACTTAAAAATGTAATTCTCCATAAGCTGATTGAAAATATTATACCTCTGTTGTATTATGAATTTTAAAAAGTTTTTAAACCAGGATTATTCCAAAGAATAAGTTTGTCATATCAATAGACATTAAAATTTTACTTCCATCTTAGCATTGCAGCCTTTAATGCTGCAAAAGCATTAGTCTTATTATTAAAAAAGGAATTAGGCCCCTGTTTAATATAAATAGACTTGCAAAATTGATGTTAAGCCACAGAAATTGTACTGTACTTCCTAATATTTCTCTTTTTCAGCGCTTTAAAAACGCTACAGCCTTTTTACTTATCTAATATTTCCTATACATCTCCATCAAGGCCTCTGATTTCAAGCTCACACCAACTATAATTTTTGACTATGTTGCACTTGTCCAGAAAAAGCAGATTCTCAGTTTGAGGTCGTCTTAGACTCTGTTGCTTGAAGAACTGAAAACTGTGATGAGGAAGGCCTACCTACAGCTTTTATTTGATGAGTCGGTTGTTGCCTTTCCTGGAGTGGGGAGCACTGAGGGCAATCATTCACACTTTTGTTGAGTTCAGTTGGATTCTGAAATTTGTTGTGTGTGAGTCTACCCAGAAACCTCAGTGGTACACAATGCGGGAACATGTAGGTTATAGGTCAGAGACTTTACTGACAAATAACACCACTCCTTTAGGAAATGCAGTGGTTGCCAGTCTGTTTCCAAATATAATTTAAAGTTCTGGTTAAAATCAAAAAGTCTAAATGGCCCTGAACCTAGAAATGTTCGAGACCATCTATTCCAGGTAAAAATCTGCCCATCAGTTTCACATAAACCAAGAATCCCCACATATCAGAATAGTTGTTCTACTGCTCAGATGTGGGAAAATTAAATGAGGATTGGCAAGATTTATTACAACTATCTGACCCTGAGGTGGGTGTTATGTCTAGTATTTGATAATTAGGAGAGCGGGGCTTCTAGGTGGCTGAGAGTGTTAGAGATAGAAGGAAGGGTAATGATAGGATGGACAGGGGTACTTATGGTGAGGGGAAGCTTAGCTATTCCAGGGAGAGAAACATTGAAAATTTGTTTTCATTGCCAAAAAGACTTATTTAATCATGTTTTCTTGGCCCTCTTCTGTCTCCCAGCTTTCTTTATCCCCCCCTTCCCTCCCCCGACTGTTGAGTTCATTCCCTCTTTCTCTCTTTAGTTGGGTAAGTTGATTGTGTGACTGGCTATAAACTCTTACTAGCTATGGTTGCATTACCAAGAGCTAAATCCTCCAGATGTTTCTTGAGACTCTTCAGCTTAGGCTTCAAAATTTTCTTTACACTGCCTGCTTGACACTCCAGAACTAGGAAGGCTTACAGGTAGTCCTTGACTTATGACCACAATTGCGACTGGAATCTTGATTGTGTGAAGCAGTCAGTAATCATTAGGTGAGATGACATCTAATAGTAGAACTATTATGTGTCCTATTGTAGTCTCTTGGAACTACCTGTCAATAAAGGAAATTATCTTATTTTGCATTTTCTAAAATCCTGCATATACAACCAGTGTACATATACAGTACATAATGTAATTATTTCTTCAAGTGTCAGAAATACGAGGTATGAAAAATACCTTCCAAATTAAACATACAAAACTCTGCCTTTTTAAAGCAGTGATGCTCTATAATGATTGATGCCCCCTAGACTTGGAAGAGAACAAAAGGATGGCATTCTTTCAAATTTTATACTTTTTCTCTCAGCTCTATGAATTTAGATTCAGATCTAGATACATTCTTTGGTTTGTTCCCAGTTTGTTTGCAATAGAAAAGAGATGTACAAAATTTTTCAAGATCATAGCAGGTTGTTCTAAAGTCATATTTCCAATTAGAAAGGAATAGGCTATTCTGATGTTAAAATATGCCCAGTGAAGTTGGACTGGGACATTTTGTGGTCAGTACATTTCAATCCTGACACGTTTGGTGTCCTGTGATATATATATTTAAGAAAAAGATTATTTGAATTTTGATCCATATATCCATATATAAATATAATATACATTTTAGTTTTCAAATATAGCCTGTCATGAAGTTAAGCTTGAAAGAAAATCCAGGAATTGTAGTAGCTCCTCAGCACCATCAGTTCAGTTTATACTCCTTTTAAGAAACATTTTTTAGCTCCCATGTAACATAAAATCACATAAATAAATAAATAAATACTCCTTTTGAGACAACAAATTAAATTGCATATAAATAGTTTACTGCAGTAGGTTTTGCTTTATTGAAATTGTCCATCAATAATACTGCATTGAGTTGTCAATACTATGAGAAATAGATGATGAAATTATCATGCAGTGTTCCTTTATGTCTCATAATTTTATATCCTAGAAACAACGATGTATTCTAATATACACATGAGAAAAGTTTTTGTAATTATCTTACTCTTAAAACTATTTTTATGGATCAAATAGCATAATCGTATTAGCTTTTAAGGTTGTAGAAAAATAACTTTTTCTGTTTACTTCAACAAATGAGCTCTAATTCCAGCCTAGAAGTATTTTTTATGTACATATACAAACTATCAAATTGCATAGAGTTCTACATGTAGCAGTACTGAAGAACAACTCTAATTATCAGCAGTGCTTAGGAATGGAAATTCTTGCAAAGGGATAAAACTAAATACATTTATTAAAGTATTTAGGCAAGAAAAACCAAATGTACAGGTATAATATAAGGGGTACCTTGCTCAGTAGTAGTAATTGTGAGAGGGACCTCGGAGTCCTAGTGGGCAATCACTTAAATATGAACCAGCAGTGTGCTGCAGTTGCCAAAAAGGCCAACACAGTGCTGGGCTGCATTAACAGAGAGATAGAATCAAGATCACGTGAAGTATTAATACCACTCTACAATGCCTTGGTAAGGCCACACTTGGAATACTGCATCCAGTTTTGGTCACCACGATGTAAAAAAGATGTTGAGACTCTAGAAAGAGTACAGAGAAGAGCAACAAAGATGATTAGGGGACTGGAGGCTAAAACATATAAGGAAAGGCTGCTAGAATTGGGTATGTCTAGTTTAATGAAGAGAAGGAGGAGGGGGGACATGATAGCAGTGTTCCAATATCTCAGGGGCTACCATAAAGAAGAGGGAGTCAAGCTATTTTCCAAGGCGCCTGAAGGCAGGACAAGAAGCAATGGATGGAAACTAATCAAGGAGAGAAGCAAGCTAGAATTAAGGAGAAACTTCTGGACAGTTAGAACAATTCACCAGTGGAACAACCTGCCTCCAGAAGTGGTGAATGCTCCAACAACACTGGAAGTTTTTAAGAAGAGACTTGACAGCCATTTGTCTGAAATGGTATAGGGTGTCCTGCCTGAGCAGGGGGTTGGCCTCGATGACCTCCAAGGTCCCTTCCAACTTTATTATTATTATTATTATTATTATTATTATTATTATTATTATTATTATTATGGATCATCGCACAGTCAGCCAGATGTTCAGACTAGATTTGGCATTTTGTCTACCTATCGAGTCCTTACCCAGGACCTGGGATAGGCAGATGTGGATGTTTGATGGTATTACAGATATCGTCGCAGGATGGAAACAGTTCCTAGTAAGGCCGCCTTTTGCAATTGACTAATAGTGAATTTGTCAATGCCAATGTGGTGCTCCAGTTGTTTTGGGATTGCACCCAAGGAGCCTATTACTATTGGTACTACCCTTGCTTGCTTTTATTATTATTATTATTATTATTATTATTATTATTATTATTATTATTATGTAAGAAATATTACTCATTCTCCAGAAGTTGCCTTTAACTTTAATCCTTCAGAGTTGTCTTTGAAAAGTCTTGGAAACTATAGTCAGAAGCCATTCCATTTTCCTTTCTTTCTTTCTTTTCTCAATTTTGGGTTCTTCTTAAAGTAGATTGTGACTCTATAATTAGTTTTTTCTAATCAGTCTTTTATCTCTTCAGCTCTAACTGCTGCAGCAGGAAGAGGCAAGTTGGATGTTTGTCGTCTGCTTCTAGAGCAAGGAGCAGCTGTAGCCCAGCCCAACCGACGAGGGATTGTTCCTTTATTCAGTGCCGTTAGGCAAGGCCATTGGCAGGTAACAGAATAAGAGAGAGTGAAAAGCTGTTCCCTACTCTACTATAATACAGCTGTACTGCTGTAATAAAATGTATACCCTGTACATTTTGGGGAGCACATTTGTTATTTTCATCAGCCAAAGTATGTGAGTCTCTTGTTAGTAAGAGTAACATGAGAAAACTGCAGGGACTTGTCCAGTTAGTCTCCAAGAATTATGTATGATTAAAAGGAAGGGGGGGGGGAAATAGGTTTTTGGCATGTTGGAATATCCTGGGGAGCTTGAGGCCATTTTCAATAAATTGGCATTCATTGCTATAGGATTTTTTAAAGGGCATAGGTAAATTCATTCATTTATTCAATCATTCATTCATTTTAAGGTGTAATGGGCTTTGTCTTCTTATTTGTTATTTGTTTACCACATTGCCATTTTTATTGAGCAGCTAGGATATTTCTCTTTTTTTTAAAAAAAAAAAAGGGTATTAAACATTTTAGAGAGAAACATTTTAGAGAGATAAGCAAAAGAGCAAAAAACAAAACAAAACATTCAGATAAAGTGAATTAAAAAGCACAAGTGAGTAAATAGAATATGAAATCTTAGTATTATATACCTGTAGTATAGCATTAAATATGAATATTTGAATATATTATAATACTTTAAGAAACTAAGTTTCTAAGCATAGATGAATCACCAAATAAACCATAAACCATAGTAGCCTGAGTCTGAAAATCTGTTCTGATTTAAATATCCCATTAAATTGAAATATAGACATTACATTGAAAAAATCAAATTTTAGATATGGTACAAATCCATATATTGAACTGTAGTCCTGGAATGGTTTCTACTTTGTATTAAATTCCATAACATGTTTACTTTTAAGGTACAGTGTTATTTTGGAGGTAAAAGCATAGTCCTGCAACTTAGTCAATTATTCATTCAAAGAAAGAATCAGAAAATTTTCCAATAAGAAACACATAATACCTTTGAAACAGTTAACTTATACGGAGCTAATTGAATATACATAGAGGGAATATATGGTTTAGTAAAATTTAATAAGAATATCATAGGCTGAAATGGAAATTCAGCATTTACACATTTATATTCCATCCTTATATTATTTTACAAAATAGTTGTGTTACAACATTGCCATAAAATATGAAAAAAATATATTTGATTTGCTCATTACATTTTCAATCATTTTAAAAAATGATTTTTCCATTTTGGCAACCAAAACTGAAGTGATGTATCAATGGTAAAACAATCCATTTTTCTCTAATATTCAGAGTAAATTTAATCTTCTTATACTAAAATTCCCATTATTGCATCTCTGTTATTACATTCAAATTCTGCATCCATTTAATCATGCAATCTTTTATTTGTTTGTATTATGAGTCTTGCCACCAATAATAACTCATGTTCAGAATTATATATTATGAGGTTTTTGAATTAAGTCAAGTCTCTCAATATTCCCCCTTGTTCCAATAATTGTTTTATTGCTGTTCTACTTATTTGAAGATGCCGAAACCAGCCATATAAACTAGATCATTCTAAAACTAAACTTTTAAGAGATTTCATCATTGATAATTCAAATTTACAATCTAAGGAATTATTAAGAATTTTGTTAGTATTTGCCTCTTCATTGAAGTAAACATTTAAGAACAACTTTGGAGGTTTGAGAAAATCTGGACATCTTTTCCTTTATTTTTCATGGAAATTCATAATCTTCTACGTATTGTTTATTTCTGTTTACACAAATATTTTTAAGGTGATCCAGACCACATGAAAGTCTTGCCCCTTCTGTAGAAGCAGCCAGCTTCTATACAATTGGTTATGAAACAAATGTTAAGCAACTAGCATGTTTGAAATTCAAATCTGTTAATCCACTTCACTTTAATCTTGTAAAGTCCAAAATATAATCCTTGGTTTATTGTTGGATCACTATAGGTAGTCCTTAGGCAATCCCAGCAGTCACAGTTGCTTTCATAACACAGGACCGTACACATTAAGAGAGGATCTCACACAACCGTGATGTGGGAAGGCATTGAGTTAGTTATATGTTCATTGTAATTGCTTCAAATCATTCAGTAATATATACTCCTGTTTTTCTGTGGCTCTTTTTCTTTCTGATGCCAGAGAGATTAACAAATCTATCAAAAATACCTGACTAGCACTCCATACCATAAAGAATCATTAGAACTTAATTGATTTGAAAGAAATTACTTAGTTCCTAATAACACTTTTAATATCCTTATGTACTTATAGTGCAGTGGTTCTCAATCTGTGGGTCGGGACCCCATTTGGGGTCGAACGACCATTTCACGGGGGTCGCCAAACAACGCAGTCCGCCATTTTTTTCCCCTTTTCCTTAGCTGTGCTACTCCCTTTTATTCTATTGGCTTTTGAAAGCCAATAGAATAGACTCTCTTGAATAGAGTCTAATTCTATTGGCTTTCAAAAGCAATAGGAATTGTCCAGGCTGTCTCTGCCCTGCTGAGCCCACCAAAAGTCCCATTCTGCAAACGGTGCTGCACCAGTTGAGTAGTCCTCGACTTATGACCGGTTGAGTAGTCCTGGACTTACGACCGGTTGGGGGTTGCGCATTAAAAAGGTTGAGAACCACTGTTATAGTGGTTCATGAAATCTCTATCTGTTGGATCTGGACTAAACATTCCTTGATTTAATCTTACAATTATTTGATTTTGATCTATATCAAAAGTATAACTTGAGGCAATTGATATTTTTCCAGATTCAGTCTGAAAATACAATAAATTTTTCTTGTTCATCTTGGATTTATTTTTCTAAAGTCTAAGGTAAATTTTTATATGTATATAACAGAGTATTAAAGGTAAACTGTTCCAACTAAAGCTGCCTTCTTCAACTGACTGATGGTGATTTTTTTCAGTGGTAATGGTGTTCAAGGGGTGTTACAGATGTTTTGAGATTGCACCCATGGAGCCTATTTGGTAGTATCTTTGCTTTATTTTGGCACAGTCGTTCGATTTCTATTTGCAGATCTTTGTATTTTTCTTTTATTCTGCTGTCTCCAGGTACTGCAATAGCCTTTTTTGTTTTTCTTATCCATAGTTGTTAAATGTTGTCTGTTTTAATTCTAAAAACCCAGAGCACTGTAGCTTCTTCGTTTTCTATTACTTTATTATGGTCCTACCAGTTTTTGCTCAAAGGCAAATTATATTTGTTGCAAATATTACAATGCACTATTGTTGCTACTTTGTTTTTACTTTACTGCTGTTTGTAGTTAGTCTGTAAACTCTTCTTGCAGCAGTTAACTAGTTGGTGCACTGTTTCTTCAGCTTGTGCTTGCTGCTCCATTTTAATAAAAGTAGTCCCAAATGTAGCACATTTAGTGGGTCAAGACTCCTTTTCTACAAGCAGTCTTGAAGAGTCCTTTTGTCTGAAATGGTATAGGGCTTCTTGCCTGAGCACTGGGTTGGACTAGGAGACCTCCAAGTTTCCTTCCAACTCTGTTGTTCTGTTACTCTATTCTGCTCTATGCACTTTGCAGCTGACTGAGCTCTTGCATTAGGTGGGGGGTGGTAATTCCATGGCTTCATCTTCAGAGAGCGATGGCAACTGTTTGCGGATTACTGGCCTATCCAATCTCTGTGCCTGCTTAGATTGCAGTCCATCTGTTGATACTGGTGCTGGCTGCTTTTGTCTGTGGACATTTCTAGAACTGGCTCTGGCTGCTTATCGGTTTTCTCCTCTCACTCCAATTAAGAGTTCACCATGATAAGCTGTGTATGTGGAAAATGTTGAGCAGCGATTCTATTTCAGATATTCTTTTTCTATACAACTTCAGATCATCTATGTAAAGTGGGAGATCTTAGTAAATGTTTTTGATGTTTGCCTTATTTATTCAGTATTGTTGATAGAGGAATCAATGCAATAATAAATAGTAGTGCTCATAGTGAATTTCCATGAAAGATGCCCTCATTGATATTAACCTCTCCTAATCTATCACCACTAACCAATAACTTTGTCTTTCATTGTGCCATTGATCTTTGCATAAAGCTTCTGATGTATGTATTGACTAGGCACTTGATTATCCAATCATGTGAAGGGAAATCAAATGCCTTCACATAACGAATCCATGCTACAATCTTCCTTCTATTGCAGTTTTCCAAAACCATCTTGCCAATTAGGAGCTGATCTTTTGCTCCTCTGCTGTTTGTGTGGTTTCCTTTCTGCTCGGGTGGCTAGATGCTGTTGGACTGCATCAGCTACCACATCAGTTAGCAATTTGAAAGTTGTTGGTAAGCAGGTCATTGGCCTGTAGTTGCCTAGTGCTGCTCCTTTGGTTGGCTCTTTCATTATCAGGTAGGTTTTACCAGATGTTAACCAATCTTAAGTTTCACCTCTTAATTTAATAATTGTTTGGCAATGAGTGAGTGTAGATCAATCAGATGTTTCAACCCAAAAAGAGCAGTTCATTTTCACCCCATGCTGACCAACTCTTGATCTTTCATGCTTTTTCTCCACCATTTCTGCTGTTATTACAAGTTCAACTTCTTTTTTTTTATTCTTATCCACCTCTTGTATCCAAACTGCATCCTTGTACTTTTTGGTAATATCCTGTAACTGCACCCAGAATTACACTGTTTCTTCTTCGTCAGGTGCTCTTTGTCAAGTCCATTGCAGTATCTCCATTGATGGATTGGCAGAAATGATTCTGATTTGACTGATATTGGAGATTAGCTGAATTAAGGATAATTCCAAATGTCCAATCTGCAATTCTTAATTTCTTTATTTTGTTCTACTTGAGCTGATAACTTATCAAATGTATCATTAATATTCACCTTAAAAGAATTGAATTTCACTTCCATAGCTTCATGTATTTCTTGAATTATATTAAAGAGGTTATTTTCTATTGTATGAAACCCATCCGCAAAAAATCTTAATAGAATAAATAGAATAGAATATTTATTGATTTAGTTATTTGACTACATCAAAAGAGAAAAACTTATACAAATATACAAATAGATGCAAAGAAGACAATAAGA